TGTAATGATCAAATCAGAGTAATTGGGGTATCCATCACCTCAAGCATTTATCATTTCTTTGTGTTAGAAACATTCCAATTTCACTCTTTTAGTTATTTTAAAATACACCATAAATTATCGTTGGCTGTTCATCCCACCCTTAACAACCATCTTTACATATTTTCACCTAGCATTGTAATCACAGTGCACATGTTACTTTGTATTCTGCCCTTTCCACCTATTTTATCTCATGAATTATTCCGGGTCACCACATAGCCATCATACTTAAAATTTTTAGTGGCTGTGTAACTTATCCTTGGTATTTTAAAGGCTCCAGATAGTTCCATGGAACAGAGGGGAAAAGTTGGATTTTGTTTTTAGTGGAAATTTCACCTTTTAGCTTTTTTAATCCCGCTGTTTTATATACTACATTTTTTCCTAAAGCAAAAAACATTCTTTCAAGTGAAGTTTGATTTTTTTTCTTATGTAGGTTAGATACAAAGAAGACACTTTGTGTAATATGTTTAGTTACTAACCATTGGTTATCTTCTTAGTCTGTGCTTTTCCGAGGTTATTTAGGTTTTTCATTTTACTCTTAAGTGATAAGTACACGTTCTAGGAAAAGGTTAATGATCTTAAAGATGTTTTTGTCGTTTTGCTTTCTATACCTGAATTACTGCTGATATGCCATATTTTGGTAGCTTTTTCTTTTTCTGAGTCTCTTTTTCAGTCACTCCCTCTTGCCCGCCCCAGCCCTCCTCTCACCATGTGGTAACTATTTGTTCTTTTGCTTTTAGGATCTAGCCAGCTTAGAAGGTCTGAAATTTTAGAACATCTGGTGATTTTTTTTTCTTAAAATTTAGTCTAGCCTTTCACTTGCTAATAGCTGGGAGCCATAAATGTCTTTTTTCTGTCACACTGATTATCAAATAGGTCTTTCTTTGATTGTCAGCAGGCATCTTAGTTCCTACTTTAAAAACTTCTCTCTCATTAGGAAGCCCTTTCAGCAAAGTAATGTTGGATAGGGTTTTAGTGGTAGCTTATTCTGCAGAATAATGTGAATGTATTTTTTCAATTTCTCTAAGGTCAGAGGGCCATCATTTACCTCTTCTCAGAATAACTGCTTACTTCTCAGGTTTTGGTTATATACACATCTTCTGTAGAATGAATTTTATTTTCTACTAGAAGATTTGTTTCTGTTGTTATTGTAATAGGCATGAGTTGTGCATTTGGTTGGAAGGTTTTTTCTTAATAGGCATGCAACTATTCCCAGTATATCCATTTACAAGCTCTGACAATAAATCTTGTGAAAAGTTACTGTGACTGGAATTTTTCACTAATGTATACTGTTGATTATGTGACTATAGTATTTCACCAAAGACTTAGGAACTTTTTACTGCATACCCCTTAGTACATAGCTGTGTGCTCTTTTATAATTGGTTATACCTATTACTTGCAATCAAGCTTTGCATGTATGGAATTAAGTTTGATTTGGGTACCATACAAAAAGCGTGTGAAATGCCAACATCGTGTGCTACATCTGTTTTAAGTGTTGCTTTGTAGACAAGTTTTATACATAGTGTTACAAGTGTTAACACTACGTTTATACATTGGTATCTTTAGTATACACAGCTAGGATTAAACCCTATGTAATATTTTAAAATTAATAATGTATCCTTATACGACTAGCACATGGTTTTAAAAAGCGTATTTTGGGGGTGTGTGTGTGTGTGTGTGTGTGTTTAATAGTTCTTATTAGTCTTGGCAGAGGCTCTGCTTCTTGTATGTTTTGTTTTGCTATGAATCATAATTTCCTTTTATTCAGTGAATAGGAGAGGTAGGCTTGTCACTACCATTAACTCGAAAGAAAGTAAGCCGTTAGATTGAGATATATACTAAGTATTCAAAATCGTTTTATTTTGAAACTACTTTCTTAAAATTATCTATGTTTTATTTAAGGAAATTATTTTTTTAACATAAAATGGAGTCACTTTTTCTAGAAATAATTGAACCACATGTATAAATACTGGTCAGAAGTTTTTTTTTGTAAATGGGAAGAGACAATGTTTCAAAGAAACATTGAAATATCCTAAGCCTGTAATTTGAAACATACATTTGAAAAAGTAAAATTTTCCCTCGAATGTTGCTTTTTCACATCCTGTAGCTAGCTTTGCTTACTGGTGGTGTCTGCATGCCTTTGTCAAACTATATTAGATAAAGGCAGAATTTTGGCTTACAGATTTAGAAAGTAAACTTAAGCTTTTTAGATGATATGTATTAAACATTTATTAGAATTTCACCTAAGGCATAACTTTTTCATGTGCCCATGAATATATTTTATAGGCCTTATTTGGAAAGGAGAGACTTTTAGGGGAGACTTTCATTGTAGTCAGGAAGCTATGGAAGTGTTTTTGGGTGAAATAGTAGCAACATGGCTTGTGAGAGCAATCTTAGACAATGGAAGGTGCT